GAGCCCGACCCCCCCCCGGCTCCCCCCCCCTGTCAGGGGGGTGCAGAGCCAGAAGATCCCCCCTGAGCCTCCTTTTCTCCAGGCTGAGCCCCCCCAGCTCCCTCAGCTGCTCCTCATGGGACTTCTTCTCCCAGGGACCCCCAGCCCCTGATCCAGTGGGACCAGAGGGACACAGAACTCAGGCTGATTCCCCCCCAGCAAACCTGCCCCCCCCAATCCATCTTGTGGGATTATTATTTCTGCCTGGCTGCATCCCAGGGAGGGGAGAAAGTTAATTAGACATCTTAGCACCTGGGAAATAAAAGCCTTGCTGACCTTCATTGACTCTATTGGAAAATAATTTAGGGTTGTTTGGCTTCCCTTCTGCACTGAGCAGCCCATCAATTAACAGCCCTCAGGAAAATGTTCACTATTTGCCTTTTAACACAATTTAATCTGATGTGCTGTTTCGTCACCTGTGTCCCACATGATCCCAGTATTGATGGGTTTGTCCTCAGGTTCTGCTGCTTAAATGGGCAAAACATATTTTATCCTATAATTAAATGAAATGCTCTGCTGGGTGAACATTATCTTAAGTTTTATAGTATTATAGTGCTTTCTATCACCTTAATACATCACCATAGTTCTGTCACTCCAATGAGGTATTACTGTATTATTAGTGTAATACATCATTACTGCAAGGTGTTTGCATGATGAATTGCTTCAAAGATGAAGCCATCAGGCAGGAAAAAAAAAATCCATCAGCAGGCTGAACATAATTACAGGATAAAAGGATACTTCATGATGGAATCTGGTCATGAGTTGACCTGGAAGTGAATGAAAGCAGAGAGAAGGGGAAGCTAAAGAGAAAACCTGAGACAAACCCCTAAAATGTCACTGGTAAGTGATACAGAGGAGGAGCTGTGAGTAAAGCCAAGGTCTCATCTGCATTCAGGGCCACCACACCCAACTGCATCCAGCTCAGGGCTCCAGGCTGAGCTTAAAGCCAGGAGCAGTGAGGAGAGAGCAGGAATTCAGGATCGAGCACAAACTGCCCTGCCTTGATGGGATAAATCCCTTCCCACAGAGTAGGTCATTCCCCCCCTCACCCTGTGGATCTACAGACAGAAGGATGATGTGGGGATGGACTTGGAAAGAACAAGCACACCCAGCTGCATCCAGCTCAGGGCTCCAGGCTGAGTTTAAACCCAGGAGCAGTGAGGAGAGAGCAGGAATTCAGGATCGAGCACAAACTGCCCTGCCTTGATGGGACAAATGGGATAAATCCCTCCCTGCAGGTCATTCCCTCTCTTTCCATGTGTCTCTAGAGACAGAGGGATGATGTGGAGATGGACTTGGAAAGAACAAGCACACCCAGCTGCATCCAGCTCAGGGCTCCAGGCTGAGCTTAAAGCCAGGAGTGGGATAGAGCAGAAATTCAGGATCGAGCACAGACTGCACTGCCTTGATGGGATAAGTGGCAAAAATTCCTCCCTGGAGGTTATTCCCTCTTTTTCCCAGGTGGGCTGTAGATCTACAGACAGAAGGATGGTGTGGGGATGGACTTGGAAAGAACAAGGACTTCCAAGAACATCCCACCACCCCCAGCACGGCAGGGAACGGGATCCACAGCCCCCCTGTCCTCACCCCATGACAATGCCAGCAGGGAACCCACACCTCCCCCTCATCTGCTGCTGAGGAACCTGCTCTTAATTAAACTAAATTTGGTTAAAATTAAACTTCAAACATGTCTGGGATGGGCCATAGGATCAAGGAGAGAAAGGGGGATTTCAGGACATGATGTGCAACTTGAGCACCACCGTGTGAGCTTTGAGATGCTCAACAACTCCAAAGGAATTGCAACTCCTTGTGGGTTTATATATATATCTCTAAAAATGAATAAAAAACTTATATATATATTTATATATATATATATTTATACATAACAAGTGTTTACATTACATTCCCAGCAATAAATTACAACAAACAGCCCATTAATTAAACAGTTGTAGAGAAAGTCCAATTTTGCTGCAAATTTCAAAGCTCCTGCACTCACTGACAATTACTCTAAAAAAAGCATTTCCAAGGAGTTTAACCCATGGAATGTATCATGAAACAAAAGAACTGCCAAGAACTGGCTCTCAGTGGGAAGAGGGAAGGGACAACGTGGAGAGGGAAGACCAGGAAGAATCTCTGCTGAGGTTGGACAGTGGGAAGCATGAAGGGAGTCAGCAGCACTGCCAGGTTTGGCTTCAGAACTTCAGGTAGGAGAAGAAAACGTAGTTAAATCTAATCACAATAACTGAGGGAAAAACAAATAACCTGCTTTCAGCCATTCATCTCAGAGCCCAGGGTTAGCAGGCAGTGTCAGCCTAATCCAGTTCCTCACCCCATAATGCACTTAGAGGTTGAAGTTTCCATCCACAAAGTCCAAAAGGCATTTTGTGCCATTTGACAAAAAAATTGTGTGCATTTAAGCACCAGCTTTGTTATATTTAGCAGTGACTGGATCAGCCCCAGCTGCCTGATCTTTGTTCAGAGGCAGGGATAAACCAAAGGGAGATTATCTCCCACAGCTCACCCCCAGGCTCAGGTGGCTCCTGAATTTTCCAGTTCAGGCTCAGATGAACTCTGGGATTCCTCAGTCCTGGTGAGCCTGGAAAGCCCAGGGTGACCATGGAGTGAGAATGGGATCTTCCTGCATTTCCATCACTTGAATTATACATCTTTTAGCTGAAAATGAACCTCCTGGAGTGTGCTGGACCCCAGATACCCCACAATTTTGGAGAGGCAAAAGGAGTGGCAGAAAAGTCATGCAAAGGGAAATCCCAGCCAGGGTGAGATGGAGAATTATCTCAGCACTGTTTGTTTGCTTTATTCCATTGGGCCATTTTTATTCTGCTGGGTGAAAGAGGAAGAATCAGGGAATCATGGAGTGGTTTGGGCTGGGAAGAATCAGGGAATCATGGTGTGGTTTGGGTTGGAAGGGACCTTAAGGATCATCCTGTTCCAACCCCTGCCACAGGCAGGGTCACCTTCCACTGTCCCAGGGTGCTCAGATCCCCATCCTAACTGGTCTTGCATTGTGTCCTGCTCGTGGGCTATTTGCTTCCATCATTATTTACCCTTGCCTGGCAGATTTTTTCCCAAACTTTTACTAGCAGCTCTGCCACGATTCTGGCAGAATCCAGAAAATCAGGACATGAAGAGCAGCTGGGAAAAATCCCCTGTGATACCTGAGGTGTTTTTAACAACAAGCTGGGCCTGACCCATTGGAGAGCGAAGCCAACAGACAAGTTCCACAGCCTGCTGTGCCCTCTGCCAGTGTGCCCCCTCACCTGAGGCCCCCACCCATGGCACGGGTACAGGATTGCTGTGTGGTTCTCCTGAGGGCCCTGGTCCAGGCACACGTCCTTGGCCTTGTTGTTTCGGAGCTGGAAGAAAGAAAAAGAGCAGAGTTATGGCCCTGTCTCATCAGAGATAAAGAAACAAAAGATGCTCAGCCCTCTCCTGCTGTAGAAGGTGTTCTATCACAGGGAATAATCGGGCAGGGAAAGGTTTAGTGCACTGTGTGTTTTCTTTAAATCCAGGGCTAATGGTGGTTGATTTTACACAATCATCACCATTCCAAGGAGCCAGTTTCCCTGGACAGAGTTTTCTTCTCTTTGCTCATGTGTGGTGGGAACAAAGCCAGTTTTAGGCTGCCAGGAGCCCAAAATCAATGCAGGATTGCTCAGATTTCGGTGAAAAGTCCAGCTTGGAAAAAAAAAGGAGGGATGCAGGAGGAGAGGCAGAGATGGCAGAGCACTGTCATGAACTGAAGGACACACTTTGGAGGGGCCAGGGCAGGGTGGGTTCGTGGTACAGAGTCAAACAGCCACCAAACCCTGGGCACCAGGACTGGTCCCCAGAGCTCTCCCCTCTCCAGAGCTCTGCCCTATCCTCTCTCCAGGCTTCCCAGGCAGGGCCATAATGCAAAAATGCCTTTGGAAACAGGCTGGGAGAGCTGGGGGGGTTCACCTGGAGAAGAGAAGGCTCCAGGGAGACCTGAGAGCCCCTTGCAGGGCCTAAAGGGGCTCCAGGAGAGCTGGAAAGGGATTTGGGACAAGAGATGGAGGGACAGGCCAAGGAGGAATGGCTTCCCACTGCCAGAGGGCAGGGTTAGATGGGATATTGGGAAGGAATTCCTGGCTGGGAGGGTGGGGAGGCCCTGGCACAGGTTGCCCAGAGAAGCTGTGGCTGCCCCATCCCTGGAAGTGTCCAAGGCCAGGTTGGAGCAACCTGGTCCAGTGGAAGGTGTCTCTGCCCATGGCAGGGGGTGGGACTGGATGAGCTTTTGTGCCCCTTCCACCCCAAAGCATTTTAGGATTCTGTTATTCTATGCAAATACTTGTTGGGAGGTTTTAGCTTGCAGGCTTTAAGTAACTTTGATTACGAATCTTTCCTAAAATTATTCCCATCTGGGAGGCTCAGGCTGTGCTTCAAGGAGCCTCCTCCAACTGCCACTGTTCCATCAGATCCATTGCAACAGAGGATTTATTATTAGTTCCCATAAATGCCTGTTTCTATATTCTCAGAACGGTTTCAAAGCCAGCAGAGATTGAATTAAGTCTCCTTACTTTATCTTGTCCTTAAGCTGTTGTGACAACACACTGTATCCAACAGAGACCTTGTCAGGAATTAGGCTGAGCTTAAGTCACAGGGTTTTATAAGATGACTGTGTATTAAAAATATACAAACAGCTGCTTAATCCATGCAGTCAATGGGAAATATAGATAATTTTCTGTCAATTCAGTAAATGATGTATTAAAATATTTTACTTTATACGGTCTCCGAGATCAGAAATAAATCCCCAAACAGGTTTTTAGAAGAAACTGGGAACAGATTGCTCCAAATTTATATAATTAGACACAAATAGTCAGTTTTGATTCACATTCCTCTCCTCTGAGGCGATTTCTCATCAGAGAAATATTACCAGTCTGAGCTCAGGGGCTGCTCAGCCTTAATTACCTCTCCATAAGCAATGGTGTTGTTGTATCTCCTCATTTCTGGATAAACATGGTCCAGGTACCACTGGAAATTTTTACACTTCAGGCTCTTCCTCAATGCTTTTCTCTCAGAAACATCCCCAATGTCAATCCCTGGATTCTGAAAAATAAGGACACAGCACATCACTGAGGGGTTACTCTTCAAAAAGACTAAAAACTAATGTATTTCACTGATGTTTTGAGGCCCTTTCCAAACTGCCTGGAAGCTCCATGAAGAGGCCATGCCAGGGAATTCTGGCTGAAATCATCCTCCCAGGAATCCCAAGGAAAACGTGGCTTTCAGAGCCACAGCCAGGAGGTGACACCAACTCCTCTCCTGGGGTTTAGGGACACCCCTGCAAGGGCCACCAGGTGGGACACGCTCTGGTCCTGGGGATAATTTAGGAAAGAGAAGCCAAATGGAGAAGGAAAGGTTGTGGAGGAAATATGGGAGGTGCAGTAATGATGGGGAATCTTCTCCCTGATTCCTTTTGGGATCCACCTGAGAAACACTGAGAAATATGTGCTTTTTCCATAATATTTTGTTAAGGAGGAAAAAAAATCCACAACAACCAAACGAACATGTAAAAATCCCAAATAAACAAACAAGAAACAAAAGGGAACAGAAAGGAAGGTTTGGGAAGGGAAGGTTTGGGAAGGGAAGGTTTGGGAAGGGAAGGTTTGGGAAGGTTTGGGAAGGTTTGGG